ATTCCCTAAGTCAGGATTTCCCATGCTTTCACCCCTTACAGGGGCGGGACTTCCACCCCCCAATTTCCCCCACCGGCATTTTTGGCTGGAGAATTCTGGGAGTTGAAGTCCACGCATCTGAAAGTTGTCAAGGCTGAGAAACACTGCTTTAAGGTATCCCTTGCCCTATTTATTCGTTTTTTTAAGTGCCACAGACACATTTATCCATTAATTCATCCCTTATTCGTTTTTTAAGGAAACTTTTAAAAAGAAGCAGTACTGTATATGGAGTTTCTCGGGCCCCCTAGACAGCTTTACATACAGGAATTATCAAAGCTGCAAAACAGGGCTCAATGTTAGAAAAAATGTATTTGGACACAATACACTGAGAAAGTTTCCAGAATCTCCTGAACGCATGATAAAAAAAAGTGTGTGCTTGTGCAAGCGTGGACACATCTGCATGTATTCTTCATCCAAGTTCCACAGCCACGCTGGCCTGATCTGGCAGGAAATCTGGCACCACCTGCATGTCCCAGCCGCATTCAGAAGCCCACAAAGTAATTTTTTCTCTCCCCCCCCCCGGCTTTTTTCCCCTCTCTAAAACAGTAACACTTTAGTTTTACAGCTATTTGCCAGAATCCTAATTACGACTCTGGAGCTCAGCTCCGGAGGACAGATAAATCCTGGAGAGATACAGCCCGTAAGGTCACGCTGCTCCCCAACACTTTATGCAAGAACAGCAGCAAAAATAACGGATACGTTCAGAGTAAAAGCAAACCCAGAGTTCCCAATTCCCCCCCCCCGAGGTCCAGTCACTTTCTTTTCAGTTTCCATTTCACCCCCTCAACGAAACTCCAGCCTTGCCCAGATTCCCTCCCAGCGACCGACCATGTTCCTTCCATTCCACCCCCGCTGATTATTAGTTCGTTACAGGTTTCAGAGGCCGTCCTGATCCAAGGGCCCCGGGTGAGTTAGCCATTCGCCTGTAAGGTCCTCACACCTCAAGTTAAGACAAAACTGCCAATTCAAAATGTCACCCTTTAGCAATGTCATCAATCCTCTGT